ACAAATTAGGGAAGGCAAGTAAGTAGGTGTTAATGCCTAATTGGTGCTGTTTGTCAGGTGGATGCTCCTGGGGCCTTTTCTCACTGACACGGATCTAAGGTTGCCTTCCCTGGTGTGGCTGACCCTTGTCCTCCCCACAGAGCGGGGCAGAAGGGCATACCTCTAACTCTTGTCTGAGAGCTTTCTCATGTTTGCATCTACTCAGCTGCCTCCCCTCAGATTGGTTCATATGTCCAAGTGCCCAGTCGTCAGTGGCTTGTTCTGGTCCCTTACATGTCTATTAGCACACCCTCTTTGGTTTTTCTTATACTACCTATGTGTCTACGTGTTCTGCCCTCCCCTGTTCTGTGAACTGGTTGAAAAAGCCTAAGGTTTTCATCGTTTGGCACTTAAAATCTGTGGTCCATGTTCATTTGTGTGTAAGAGGCACGGTTTTACTTCTTAGAAAAGACTGTCCCTTTACCTGCACACCCAGCACCCTGTTGATTATGTCTCTTCCTGGCTGACCAGTCTCTCCCTGCAGGAGTCCTGAGAACTGCACGAGAGAGGGTTGCCCTGAGCTTCCTCTCAGAGGGGCTGGTGCTGCAACTCCAAGGAGGCTAGGACTCAGCTGAGACCCAAGGCGTAGGACTCTGCACTGCTGTGTCCTAGGGGCCGTATCAGCCAGGCTTAAGGAAACAGGCGTTAGAGTCCAGATACCTGCTCTGAACTAGCTGTGCGCTTTCCTACCTGCCTGATGGATGTTGTACAGTTCACTTTTATAAGTTGTTACATGGCTGGTATTATTATCTGTGATTTAGGCAACATGAATAGAAACTGTGCTGACACATCTGAGGATTAAACTAGCTCAGCAAAAGGGCTGGAAGCTAGTGCGAACTTGCTTGGCAGCAATTTCTTCTTCTTCTTCTTCTTCTTCTTTTTTTGTCACTGTGATGGATATTTCTCGCTTGACCTACCCTCTACCACTCCCCAGGGAGGAGGACTTGCTCCTTGCTTTCTTCTGGGATTTAACAATTCACACCCTGCTCCCCCTTGGAGCTGCCCTGGGCACAGAGCATCTTTGACTTGCTCCTTGCTTTCTTCTGGGATTTAACAATTCACACCCTGCTCCCCCTTGGAGCTGCCCTGGGCAAGCAGCATCTCTCAAAGACACAGCTCCTCCTGGGCAGCCCGGGCCACCTCCAGGTCCCATAACTGCCGTACCTGTCCCTTCCAGGTGTCAGGGTGATAATAGCTCCTGTTACTAGACAGGGCTTATGCACAGCTACTCTGGTGTCCCTACCCCCACCTGCCCCTTTGGACACAGCCCCTTTACCAAGTATTCCTCAAGTCACCCACATGCAGAGCACCGTCTGTTCCTGTCATTTCTAATATTCACTCCTCTGGGTCCCCCTCGGTCCTGAAATCAATGACTCTCCCAAGCCCCACAAAGTACTAAAAACTGGACTCTTCCCTCCTGCTGCATCTCACGTGTGACACACAGCAATGATTTTGGCACATGAAGGTGACACCAAGCCAAAGGCAGCTTTGCTTTTGTGACGCGCAAAGGGAGAGAAAGTGGAGAGAGAAGGATCCCACACTGAGGTAAGTTTACACAGGCAGTCCTCACTAAATGACCGTCATTGTCCATTAGTTGCCTTGTCCCTTCCATACACCTTGCCATCCCTTCACCTCAGGCACTCTCTCCTTTGTTAAAGGGGCATAAAACCCTTAGTCCCAATGCTTCTTTGAGTTTCATTTCTTTTCCACAAACTCCCATACATGTAAATATTAATACAAATAGTTTGCCTTTTCTCCTGTCATTTTTTTTGTGGGGGAGTGGTGGCACTGGGGACCAAATTCAGGGGCATTCTACTGCTGGCTACATCCTCAACATATTTTATTTTTATCTTCAGGCAGGATCTCACTAAGCTGCACCGGTGGGACTTGAACTTGCAACCCTCCTTCCTAAGCCTCCTAGCGTGCCGGGATTATGGGCATGAATGTGTCATTTGTTAGTTTAACTCACTGAACACAAAATAGAGGAAAAGGTTTGCCTCCTGGGGACCAGGGTCCCTACCTTCATCTCTGAGGAAAGATGGAGGCTTCCACAATGAGTCATCGGGGAGATGTGTAGGCCCTGCGCTTTCTTAAGAAATGGACGTCTTCAAATCTTACAGCATGTGACTTGCTAACTCCAACACACCCATGTGTGGTGATGCAAATGTTGCTCCTTATGGGATAATCTGAAATCACTAAGGTTGCAAACAATCCTTTTATTTTGCCCACTTCGACTGTGCTATGTTTACTCTCTGTCATGAGAGTTCATTTCCAGTTTTAAAAGTCCAGCCCAGCAAGTTAAAAATTTAAAGATTCATACTTGTACCCCCATTTAACTTTCATCTCCCAGCCTCAAGAGCACACTGGCTAAGAGCCAGGAAGGGGATGCGGCCTGCTCTCTGGCTTGTCCCTCCTCCATCTTCCTCTTGGACAGTTGAGAGGCAGGCTGGGGAAGGAGGGACAAATGTCTCTTAACAGCTATTGTTTCTTTCTGAGGCTCTGCTGGCTTCTCTGGCAAGGCCTTCTGCCGGGCTGGCAGCCAACCTGCCATCTCCTGGGACAGATAACTAAGTTATACAGGAGGCCCTGGGAGAGGGGCCTTCCCTGACCTGAAACATACATCCTGTCTGGCTAGACATCTGCCAAACGCCTCGGGGATGGATAAAGATGGATGGGGAGTTTATGCTTCTTCTTTTACAGAGAGAAGGAGTCTCTTCCTGCGGCTGCAATACTGGCCTTGACAACATGCTTGACTGACAGAAGTCAACAGAAGAAATATTATGGGAATTCTAATGCCAGAACCTAAAATCCCTGGCAGTTGCCATGTGAGACACCGACTTCTCCTGAGTATTCCAGGCGGAAAGGCGCTGCAGATGCTCAGATCAATAATCCCAGTGGAGTGCAGCCTTCTGCCTTTCAACTAGGGCACCGGACCAGTCCATCTCCCAGCTGTGTGATGCTAAAGGACCTCCACCAACAGCACACAGAGCTGAGGCTTCTTGGTAGAGCTCTGCCTGGCTTCCTGACCACCAAAAGCACGACCCACAGTAACATAGCTGTTGCCTGCAGACACAGGTAGAAGCGATGAAGTGGCTTGTCACATGGTGAAAGCCAACCACAGATCCCTCAGCTCTTGCCCTTGGGGCCGGGATCTCCTTTGGGAGACACTGAGAAGATGGCCTGAGTCAAGTTACTCCTGTGGCATGGGCTGGTTAAACTCGACTGTGTCAACCTGATTGGCTTGGGATTAGTAAAGCACACTTCTGGGTGTGTCTGGTGGGTCACAGAAGTGTGCTGTTAGGTACTACATCTGGTTCCTTGCCTCTTCTTCAGGCACTATTCCCCTGCTCTGCTTCCTAGCCACCAGGAACTAAGGGTCCAGCATGCCCTTCCGCCATGATGTTCCTGCCTCGGAGCCAACTGACCATGGACTGAATTTCCTGAAACCATGAGGCAAATAAACTTCTCCTTTCAGTTGTGAGAGTTGGATATTTGTCCCAGGAACAGAAGAGCTGGCTAATACACGACCTACCACTGCACCGTGGTCCTCATCTCTTGGACTCTTTCCCCCTGCCCAATTCCGTGGTGACATTTTTAGAATTCCTTTCTCTTAGCTTCAAGAGTGAAACACCACTCCCCCCCATACCCCAGGAGAGGGATGGGAGAGGCAGCAATCATGATTTAGGTACCCATCAGGTAAGGTACAACTCCAGACCCCTCTTTGCACAGGTCTTCTGCTTGTACCGGCTACTGGGTGTGGGGATGAGGGTGGAGGCTGTGGCATGGGGATAGTAGGCTGGTTCACTGGGCTCTTAAACAGCCCCTGAAGGTATGGGTGTTTGGGCCCTGATATCTCTTTATCTTCAATTTGGGATCCCATTTGCCAATTGTGAAGTTAAATAAATAAAGTTTTTCTTTCCCATCTTAGGCTGAAAACTGGACAATGACAAAATGTGTGTGGCAGGTGAAGATCAAAATGCCAGTTATTTCTGGTAAAACAAGATTAATAGATATATTAAGTCTGGTTAAAAGGCTTGCTAGTACTGCCTACCAGAAGGTGATGTATTAACCTCACTTTTTCAGGCAACACTGGAAAATCATAGGCCTTTCTCTTCAGAGGCAGGGGTTTCTCACTGAGGTAACACTGTGGCTATGAACAGACTTCAATGCTGTAGGCAGGCAGGTCCTTAAAGGGGTCAGATGAGGACAAGGCTGGGCTACCATTCCTCCTCTGGCCTAAACTGACCAATCACTTACTCCTTCCTCTCCAAACCATTAAGTGAAGTGACATAAGGAAGCCAACACTTTCCTCATCTTAAAACAAAACAAAACACAAACAAAAGAGGGGTATAAGTATTTTTCCTCAACAGCCAGATCTTGGAAAACTAGTTCATCTCAGTTAACCTCCTGCAGCCCATGACCTCATTGCGTCAGTCTGGTACACTGAGAATTGTCTGTTTCTCCTTTGTGCCTGTTCCCCATCCTGGCCCACCTGCCACACAGGCTGCCACTGGGAACTGCACCCCCAGGGGCGGACTCCATTACCCTTAGTGTTCTGCTTGGGTTTGGCCATGGGGGAACTGGCAGGAGAGAAGGTAGCAGAAAATGAGGTCGTTTGCTTACCTGCAGCTGTCTTTGTGCTCGTTAACCTTCCAGGAAGGCCAGCCTGCTTGCAACCATCTCCAAAGAGATACTTTCTCTGAGGACAAGAAGCATTGTGCCCAATTCCTCCTTATTTGTAGGAGGTAACAACAGTATGTTTTGCCTGACTGGAGTTTTCCCCATCCCTTCCCAGTTTTCTTAAGCCCTACCCTCAGCTCTGTAGAGTCTTTTCGTGAAACAGTCTACTAATGCCCTGATTAAGCAAGCCCTCTGCTTCCTGTTGCGCCACCTGGCTCTCCTCTCCTTTTTACTAAAGGTGAGCCCTGCCTGGGACAGATGCCACCCCGCACCAGCCTTACCTCACACTCCCTGTGGGCTCTCATCCTTCAACTTCAGCCTCAGGCTGTGCTCCCAAGATGGCTGAACTAGAACGCTGTGGTCAGAGTGATAGTCAATGAATTATCTTTCATATTAGCATGGGCTTGGGTTCCACTGAAAAATAAAACAGAACAAAGCCAAGCAAAGCAAAGCAAAACAAAACAAAATTTTCTAGGAAGAGGATATAGTTCCATAACAGGTTGAGAAATGAGTCATCTCCAAATATTGAAAAAAAAATATACTGGAGAAGGACAAGTGTTTTGGTTAGTAGTCTCCAGAGAGACAAAACTGATAAGCTATATAGAGAGATACAAAAGGATTTACAGACATTGGCTCACTTGATTCTGAAGGCTGTGAAGTCCCACTCTTGGCCATCTGCAGGCTAGAAACCCAGGGAGCTGTGACGTGCCTCACAGTCCCATCTGGATCCCAGCAAGCTGGATGGCACCCACCCACCCTGAGAGTGGGTCTCCCCTGTTTAGTCCATGAGCATACGCACCAGCCTCCCCAGAAATGCCCTCAACACCCAGATACTCCTGGGCAGCCAGACATTCTAGTCAAACACCAAACCACCTGGGTTTCCCTTTCAGCAAAAGAAAGAGGGCTCAATGCCAACTGAAGCACGGAGGACAAATAATGCGGTACCAGCTTGCTAAGCATCCCTTAATGTGGTCAAGATGATACCCGAAGCCCAGCATCACAGTAGGGTAACGGTGAAGGCCTTGAGCTTTCCATCTGGGCAGCTGATGCTGGAGTTCTAATTTCTGAGTGGCCTTGCATGAACCATTTTCCTCTGTCACCCTCAGCTTCTTTATCTGTACAATGAGGGGAACCACCCTTGTAAAGATGGAGTGAGGTAATGTGTGGAGACATAACAGACTCTCATTAAACATTAGAAAGGACCAACTGTACATTTCAGCATACACCGGATGCCCAGCCAAGAGGGTAAGAGGAGGTTAGAGTAGAGCTTCAGCCCTACTCACCCACCAAGGGTTTCCATGCATCCTGTGCCAGACATCTGTCAACTCTCAGTACACTGTGGGTGCATTGGATCAAAATGCCCTGTTGAAGTCTGGCCTCTGTAAGTGGATACTAGAAGAGTCAGTTATAGAGTATTCCATCACCTGTGGTTCTCAAAGTTTTCACCTAAGCCCAGCCCCAGTGGAGGAGAAGAAAGAAGAAGAAAGGCAGTGACAGACAGAGGTGCAATTGCTCCTCGGAGCCTTCACATGTGTGTGTCTGATGGGAAACACCATTTGATCATTAGAGTTCCAATTTAGTGCTTGGCAAGAATCGGGTGCCCCCAGGAGTCCCGCCGCAAGTGTGGGATGGGTTCTGAGACCAAGACTGATGGGTGAGCAACTTTAATTACCTACGAACTGTGTTAATGGCCCTTGGGGTATCTTATTGCTATTCTGACACTTGGGAACATGGCATTTTCCCATTAAAATGCCAATTATCCTTGAGCACTTCTGCAGATCTATCAGCTGGAGGCTGACGGTTGTCGAGTGATGCAGTCTGATGGTTTGAAGCAAGCCGATCAGATCAAGGGCATTTTATCTGGCAAGCCGTGGCTGTTCCGAGTGCTGTACTGCCCCTGCCTGCTGCTCCTAAGCCCCCTAGGAGAGCACACACACGTGCATATGCACACAACCACACTCCACTAAGCAGAATGATCAGAATCTCTGCTTCCAAGTAGCTTTGAGGGAAAAGGAAGTGTGTTCAGGAGCCAGGAATGAGGATGTAAATTAAGACTTGGAAAAGAGCTCCTGAAATGAAAATTCTCTTTATCTCAATAATTGAAAGCACTAACCCAACAAAAAACCCCACATCTCTTGGGGGAAAATCAATCAATTTACCTCATCTACCAGGCTAAAGGGTCAGCTTACATAATGCCAACTGCCCCATCTTTGCCCTGATGCCCATTAGTTACACCTGGTTGGTTTGCTACGGGTGGGAAGCGACCCGCGTGAGTCAGGCCCCTCCAGGGCTCGAGCCTGGCTGGGCAGACGTGGCTTTGGCTTAGCCCAGTTCTGTTCTTGCCCTAATGGATGAGTCCTCTGGGCAAGGTGGCTGTGGATGTGCTGGTCCTTAATCCCACCTCTCTTTCACCTGTAGTTCTAAGTTTTCACCTGAGCCCAGCACTGGCAGTAGAAGAAACAGAAGAAAGACAGGGACAGGGAGGAGTGCAAACACCTTTCCCTTTTTTGTGGTACAGGGTGTTGAACCCAGGACCTGCACACAGAGCTCTATCTCCATCCCTTTTCCAGTTTTTTGTTTTTTGTTTTTAATTTTGAAACAGGGTCTCTCTGAATCACTAACTTGCCCGGGCTAGGCTGGAAATTGTAACCAGAGTGCTGGGATTATAGGCACACACCAACACACCCAGCCCCTTCATTTCTACGTTCAGACTCAGTGATTAATCTAAAGGATTTATAATAGATCAAATTTGTTTTCCTTACTGGAACCTGTTACAGAAGGGTATTATGGTAGTGTGCCTGAGGGCATGGGTCGTAGAGCCAGATGCTGAACTTCAAAGTCCCCTCTGCCACGTAGCTATGTGAACTTGAGTTCCCTGAGCTCCACTTCCTTCATGTGTGAAACAGGGAAGATTGTGCTGTCATTTCCCATGGCTGCTGTTCATATTCAATCTGTACCCGTCGTGTCTGGTATTGCTTCTGGGTGCCCTAGACCAGGCAGGGTGCCCAGCACCTGGAGGCCTCAGTGCTGATCGTAACAGCTCCCATCCCTGCCCTCTCCAAAAAGGTCCAGAGCTGGCAGGAGAAGTGGACTCTGAGATGTCTGCAGATTCTCTGACACCCCTTTTAACCCTTGAAGGTGGGGCAGTTCGATGATCATGTCTACCAATACGGTGAGGTGCAGGGGATGCCACGTGCCTTCCGCTGTGGATGGAATGTGCCCTCCAAAAAGATGTATTCAAGCCCTGACATGCAGTGCCTGTGAATGTGGCCTGATTTAGTGATAAAGTCATTGCAGATATAGTCAAGTTGTTTTTTTTTTTGTACCAGGGATCGAACTCGGGACCTTACGCTTGTGAGGCAGGCGGCAGAACCACTGAGCTAAATCCCTGGCCTATAGTTAAGTTCTAATGAGGTCACACAGGGCGAGGGAGGGCCCTAATCCAGGGACTGGGGTCTTTATAAGGAGGGAGAGCACCATGTGAAGAGTGAGGCAGAGAGAGTAGATGCATCCACAGAACACCAGAGACAGCTGGCAAAGCCAGGAATGGGAAAGAAGCGGGAAGATCTCTTACCTGGAGACGAAGGAGGAAGCATGGCCCTGCAGAACCAGGTATTTCAGACCTGTAGCCTCCAGAACTGTGAGAGAACCCATTCCATCGTCTCCAAACACTTAAGTGGTGGTACCTGGTCACAGCAGCCCTATTGTATAGTGCAGCTTTAGAGTTCTGAGCTACAGTATAAGAAGTTCAATGACTGTGAAGTGACCATGTTGAGTCTATATGGGGAGACCACACAGAGATGGACCCCCAAGGAACACAAACTATTCAAGTTTCTCAGCCCCATGCCAGACACAAGAGTGACCGAATTCTTAGCAGCCACGCTCCTGCAGCCTCTTGAGAAACCCCAGGTGAGAACAGTCAGCCTAGCCCAACTGAGCCACTGAATCTGATCCTCAGAGGCACTTAATATACACCTACTATTGTTTTTGATTAACTACTTCATTTTTTTCTTTGCAGTGTTGGGGACTTAACTCAGCACCTCATCCATGCTAGGCAAGCACTCTACCCCTGAGCTACATCTTCAGTCCCTACGTTTATTTTTAGTTGTGGTTAAAAATGCAAAATTTACCATCCTCACCATTTGAAGCATACAGTTCATGTTTCACAGTGGTGGACAACTAATCTCCAGAACTATGGCATCTTCCAAAACTGAGATCCTGTACCCAGCAAAGGACAGCTTCCTTGGAAATCACCACACTACTTCCTATCTCTATCACTTCAGGGACCCTAGAGAAATCACAGAAGTGGAATCATATAATCTGCTCTTCGGCACTGGCTTGTGTCACTTAGTGTGATGCTTTCACTCATATTGTAAGATGTGTCCGATTTTTCTTCCTCTTGAAGGCTGAATTATATTCCATTGTATACACATAAATTATAGATCTCCCATATATTGTTTATCCTCTCATCTATCGATGGACACTTGGGTTGCTTCTGTGTTTCAGCTCCTGTGACTGATGCTACTATACACGTCTATATACAGGTAGATTGTTATTGTTCGTCCTTGTGGTAACTTGTTAAACAGAGACAGTTCCAACGATGGAATGAGGGTATTATATGCCAGCCAAGCCTCCCTGCCTCTGGCAGGAAGACTTCTGTGGTACTAGTCATGCTCCCAAAATCTCCATCATCACACTCAGGGTCAGTCTCCTGCACCCACGCCTGCCTGCCCATTCTGCTGCCTTATCCTGTGGGTCTCACAGGACACTTCTGCAGCACTCTCTCCCGTTAGCACATGCACACACATCTGCATCACAGGCTCTGCTTTCAGGGCACCAACCTGAGCTGGTCAGCACCACATGGCCAGGGTGGTGTGAGTTGCTACGGGTACTTGCAAGGATGAGTCTTGGTGACCTCAAACCACTGAACAGGATGACGTGGTGGTTCTTAGTCATTCAGATACTTTGGTGACTATTAGCCCTGTGGAAATGTTAAGAAGCCATTGTACTAAAGGATATATGAATTAAGAAATGGTCCTTTCCCAACCCCTGTATTCCTTGGAAGTTAAAAATACCCAAGTCTGGAAATGGTATTAGCCCACAGCATGGTGGGCAAAGTCTCCCTGATGGTATTCACAGAGTACTTGGTACTTAAGGTGTCTCTGCATGGATTCTTTTTGTGTGTCCAGCAGTCACACAAGGAGGTGTGCACAGAATAGTCACCCCATTCTACAGATGAGGTTCAGAAATATTGAGGAAACTGAATAAATGGCAATGCTGAGGCTAGATCAGGCCTGGTATTTTGGTGTCTGCCTCCTCAGGACTTCCTGTTTCTACGCTGCCCTCACCCCCAACCCAATTCCCATGAAGAAGCCTCAGCAATATTTCAGAAATGCAGATCAGGCCAACTCATTCTTTGTGAGACCTCACAGTGGCTGCTTGTACTTGCAATAAAGCCCTCCTCGTTGTGAGGGAGGAGGTCCAGCTCAGGTGAGGCTGCCCAGGAAGCTCTGGTCACTGTAACTTTCAGGGGGCGGGTGCTGCACACTTCGCGCTCCCAAGGGTCTCTTGCTGTCACCCCTGCCCCAAACATTCTGCTCTAGCTATTTGATTGCTACCTTCTCCACAGCACGATGTCTGGCTTCTGGTTTTGAACTATGTACGCTAATTGTTTGGAGTTCCTCTTTTCAAAACATGGAAACTCATTATCCTCTCCCTGACAATGTTCTGAACCTGGTGATGCTTGATAGGAGACAGAATGTGGCAGAAGTGATAGGAGGTGACTTTCAAGACCAGGCCATGAAAAACGGTATCTCTTTCTCCTCATTCTCTCTGGGTCCTCCTCATGGGAACAGCCAGACGCCATGGCAAAAGGACATCCAGGCAGCCCAACTGAGAGGCCATGTGGTGAAGGACTAAGGCCTCCTGCTCCAGCCAGCAAGGACCTCAGGCCTGCAGACAGTGCCAGGAGTGAACGTGACAGTGTGACATCAGCGCATCGATGTGACCAGGCTGAACTGTAAAACCTTCTTTGCGTGTTCCCAGTTAGATTGGGCCATATGGGGAATCGCAGACATTTGGGTGGGAGTGTGAGGGGCAGCAGCAATCCTGCATTGCTGGTCTGCTGCCCCACTCAGCCACTGTGCAGCAGGAGGTGGGCAGCTGTGTGTTAGTGAAGCAAAGTGCCTGGCTTCTGTAGGATGCCACATCACGTGTGCGAACGTGGTCTGTCTTTGGGGTTTCAGCCTGTGCTCACAGGCCTGCAGCCTGCTTGTGACCTGTCCTTCCTGATGAGCTGCTCTATGGGTTTCAATCTCTGGCTTCAGATGAGCAGAGCCTAATAACCAACCCCAGCCTAGCTCACTGGCAGAGTCTCTCCTACTCTTCTGCTGCTCTGATGTAGGGAACCACCTGGAAGCAGGTCCACCAGGTCCCCGGATGACAGCAGCACTAGCCAACATCCTCATTACAACCTGGTGAGAAACTGAGGCAGGAGCATCCAGCTGAGCCTATCCCAAGCTCCTGACTCATGGAAACAGTAAATTGTGTTGCAGGTCCTCCTGGATCACCCCTCTATGTCCCCTGCATTATTTTTATTATATCTCTGTCAACTACAGCACCCTGGTTTTTTACTGCAGAGCACTTATCACCACCTGCATTCACTTCGTGGATTTATGTGCTTGTTTGTTTATATGACTTTCCCACAAGGCTATCAACCTCATGAGGGTAGACACCATCTATTCCGTTCACCTACTCCCCCAGCACCTAGCCAGTCTAACTTCACTTCTTATTGTCCATAAGACCTTGGGGAAGGTACACTTTGTGCCTCAGTCTCCTCAGCTATGAAATGGGACAATGCCAATGGTCCCTGCCCGACTGGATAATTATGAATCTAAATTGAATTAATACTGGCAAAGTACTTTAAATATGGTCTTGTACATGATAAATATTCAGGAAGTATAACTTCTAGTATTTTTAGTTTTATGGTAGGGACTCAATCAATAAACATTTACTAAGGAACTAAGTGAGGCAACTCATTGATCTCTTTGTCCCATAATCTTAAGCATCCAAGACACAACTGAGAAAGTCCCAAAGGCCTCCAGACAGCTGAAACAGATGTCCCAAAGGCTAGTAGGAAAGCCCATCTAATTAACTTATAGGCAAGCTCTTGGGTCATTACTCAGAACCTAATTACTTAATAGTCTTAGCAGATATTTATTAGTCACCTAACATATGCAAAGCATTGTGCTGGGGGAAGGGGACAGAGAGGCACAAAGGTGAATTAAGCTCATTACCTCTCCTCAAAAGAGTGTGTTGTCTAGACGGGGAGAGGGATGCAAGAGCCGGCAGTCACACAATTATGCAGGAGAGCAGGACGGTGGGGGTGGCCCAGAGCAAGGCTGACTATCAAGGTGGCCAGGCTCAATTAGTCACAATTATAACACGCGTAACAAGCCTAATTATCTGGCTTCGTAGCCTATAATGGATTAGAAACAGCATATTAGGAGAGAAAAAAGGAGGGGTTATTGCTAGAGGCAGGTACATTGACAACAGCAAATTGTGACACCCAGTGGGAATAAAGAATCATAATTCTTTAAAACACTGAAATTAGATAATGAAAGCACGGTGGCTAAGGTCATCTAGTGTGGGGCAACTGTGCCATGAGACCCAAGAGGCAGAGGAGTATGCTGGTAAGGCTTGGATTCTGGAGCCAGGATGCCCGGGTCTGAATGCCAGTTGAACAATTTCCTACCCAATCTGTCCCTCACTTTCCTCATCTATAAAATGATGACAGTTGTATCACCTGCTTCATAAAGTTGTTGTAATAATTAAATGACTTATTGTTGAGTATTTAAGAACAGTTCCTGGCACATAGCAATTTTTAAGGCCTGGATCAGTTAGGAGAGGCTGAGTTTGCTACAGTAACAAACAATTCCTAAATCCAACCAGCAAAAATGATTTTCACTCATGCTCATATCTATCCTCAACAGGTAGGGAGTTCTACCCTGGATTATCACTATCTTCACACTCTAGAGAGTCCAGGCTCATGGAGCCACTACTATCTTACACTGTCTGTTGCTGTGGCACAAGGAAAAGGGAATCCCAATCAGAAGTTAATTGTTCATCCCAGAAGTGACAAGTCTCCGACCCACAGTCCACTGGCCAACATGGCTGCACTGTTCCCAGACTCCCGTACTCTCAGAAGGGGATGGTCAGGTTGTCTAATGGCACAAGACTGCACTAAGCCATCACACAGTTGAGTTTAGGCCACAGAATGTAAAAACCATAATGTCCCCAAATGCTGAGGCTATACATTTGAGAAAGGGAAGGGAAGAAGACTGACAGGGATTCTATGTTTCTAGTGAGAACACTGTTGGTGTTTTTTAGGTTGACAGAGGGAAGGATGGTTGCTTGCATTGCAAGACTAAATACAGCTGTCTCTACTCACCAGATGTCCGGAAGGCGCCTTCTCTTCTGTGAGAAGCAGTAATGACACAATCTATTTGCCCTCCTTTGGGGTGAAGGGGGAGCTTCACCCCTTCTTCTCAAGAACCACTGTTTAATTTACAGTGTTGGTTAGAATCAGAGCTTGTGGCTGACTATGGAGAATTGATCAGGGTCCCAAGTCATGCTCATTATAGTTTATTCATCAAGATTGAGAGACTGGGCTGTAGCTCAGAGGTGGAGCAATTGCTTAGCATGCACAAGGCCCTGGGTTGTATCCCCAGCACCACAAAACGAAGCAAAGTGGGAGAGCAGGGACAGCATGATCCTCACGAGTACAACTCAGACCAGTGGCTCTGTAAAGATGTGTCTTCCCCTAGGAAGATAATCTTAGCCACTTTTTACCCTTGGATCCTGTGAGACACCCTGTACCTATTCCATAAAATTCTCCAGTTTGCCCAAGCTAGTCTGAGTACCTTTGTGTCACTCACAACTACTTATTTCTGACTAGGGCACACACCCCCTAGAAATATTTCTTTCAGATATGTTTAAAAGTGTTACATGTGTTACTTGCAAAGATAAGCTCCACTTAGCAGAACGATTTCCTTTTGTGGGACTCTTCCTTTCTCAGCTCTCAATCAATCAACAAACTATTGATGTGTGGCTATGCAAAATCGGCTCCCACAGAGAAGGGTGATGTGTCTTCTCAGAAGGAACATTCTGGAAATTGCCTCAGGAGAGTTTGCAGAAGGGGAAAGGATGGGGTCCAGCTGCAAGATTGGCATCTCCATGTCCCACACCTGAATGAGCACATAAAACAAACTCAGGCTGGCTGAGCATCCCTGTGACATGACAGGGAAGCCTGTTTAATGACTTTCCCTCTGTTAATGGATAGTGGTCCTTTTCAAGCTCTGGAGAAAAACTGACAGGATTCATAAAACAGAAAAATAAAGATGATATTAAACCTAATACAAGCATTCAAGCCAAATTTATAAGACATTTTTGAAGTCAGAGATTTCGCCTAAGTGTTGTAATAATCTATTGTGAAGATGGGGTCTCCTGCAAGGGTTTCTTTTATGGCAGTGTATGATCAGCAATTATCCAAACATCTCGCTGCTGTTGCCGTGGCTGCTAGGCTCACTCGATTTGAATTTTGCAGGAAGGATCCGGGCTTGGTGTAGCATTGCTCCTTCACTAAACCTGGTGACATACCATGCGTGGGTGCACCGCGCACTTAGGGGAGGCGATGATGATCAGAATTAAAACTAGAAAGAGCTCACTGTGAGTGAACATCCAGAAAGTCTGTGCAATTCATTGGGCAGCATTCAGGTAGAAGGAAACACTTAGAAGTGACTGATTATAATAATGGGACGTGTAATTGAGACTGTGTTTATCTGGAGCTTGACACCAAGATGAGCACTTTCAGAGACTTCTATCATCTATCTTGTAAAAATCTCAATGCATGCTCACCTGCCCTGCACAGATCAGCAAACCAAGACCACGGGGACTGTCTTCTCTCACCCGCCACATGAGA